TTTTAATATGCATACATATATTTAGCCATGTGGAGGTACGCTACAACGTGCAACATATTCGCGTTCCGCTACACCAATTTTGGGTTGTTAGCTTTAACATAATAAATTAACCTTTAAATATTTTGAACTTTAAAGTGAGTAAGGACTAAGAACGTTATCTGTATTTGTTCAACCGTTTTTTTTTTTATGATATTTCAATTTTTAATTGTGTTGTGAGTAAATCATTGTAAAGAAGAGTGCCGTAAATAATCATTAACATGCGAATTATACAATATTGAAATTTAAGCTCCTCATATAATATTATTCGCTTAATAATTAAAATATTTTAAAAATCTACGGCATAAACACAGATAACATTCTTATCTTTAAGTTTGATAATAGGTCAGCAGCTCACTTTAATATTAAAGCTAACCACACAAAATTGGTTCTGCAGCGAAATACAAATTTGCGATGTTGTACCTATAGTGTTGTACGGTTGAAAAAGTGCAGGAAACAACACGTCGTGCTGATATGGCTTCCTAAACTTCATTAATACAAATTATAAATGTTATAAATTAAATAAATTGTACAATATTATATTATTTAGCATAATATATGATTAATTATTGTATCATATTATTCTTATTTGTCACGGTCGTCTGTCCCTTTCTATACCTATTTTTTTATATTATACTTATTATTTTTTTAAGTTGATTTTTTGTGGCACTAAAAATAACAGTGTGGTCAAATTGTTATCCAACTAATCATTCGAATAAACACATTGTATTTGAATGGTTTTTTTAAGCACATTTGAGGTGTTCTGGCTACCTGGGCCACACTCACTCAAATGGATAATGCATGCCCCATGGTCACACGGATTCAATTATTATTGTCTAACACTGATTTACACTCGAATAAAGAAAAAGAATTACTCGAATTATCATAAAAGTAGGTACTGTATACAGGGTGACTCGCCAATCACGCTCACCCCTTTTTTCTTCAATAATGCTGCATTTGCTCTAAGTACAATTTTTGGAATATTGATACTTAAAGACCATATTTTCAAATTCTTGAGATTTATTTTTGTTATACCTAATCCTCGAGGACTGACCTGTAGAAATACAAACTTCTGTTTTTCAAACGAGATCCCCCTTTTCGACTGTAAATTATGTAGTGGATAATTTTTCTGAAAAAATTGACGTAGTTTCCCATCAAAATTAAAATTCGACGAGTAATTTTTGATTTACTCAACTTTGTGCACTTAAGGTCTAAATATCCATATAGAAAGTCAACGATGATGAGTTCCGGAGATATTTTGGGCTATGATAGTTTGAATATTTTAATAATTAATATTCATCTGTTAGCATTTATAATTTATAAAAATGGTTCAGTATAATAGGTAAATACTAAATCCAAAATCCAATAGGTACCAATATATTGTACCTATAAGTTTCAATTTATATTTTTGTAAAATCTTTTTTTAAGGATTGTCTATTATCCTTAGTATAAACATTTCACTATTTTAGTAGCTGAAAAACTATCCGTTCAAGTTTTGTATCATCTATACATAACAATTTTCAAAATTGTATCCACTACCTAAATAATTTAAAGTAAAGGAGGTTTGAAAAAGATACAAATGTTTTTACCTCCACTAAATACTTAAGATACAAAATACCTACCCATTAATTAGTAGAAGAAAATCTCAATACTTTGGTCATAAAGTATATTTAAAAAAATCAAAAATCAGAATTTAAATAAACCCATAATCAAAGGAAAACGCGGGACTGCAGAGGTGAGATGCTTGGTGAATCTAATATTGTGTATAGTAATTAAAGTATTCGTTATCAAAGTCGTATTAGTGTATACTGTATAGGTATATAATGTGAAAATTTCCAATCTGCTCAAACGAGATTAAGATCGACGTATTATAATATAATATATATAATTTTAATCTAAAACAACAGTGGTAAAATATAATTTATTATATTATAATAATAAATATAATAGTTTTAAAAAAACAATACACCTACCATTGAACTCTAAATGTTTAAAGTTAATATGGAGTAAAATGATAACTTACCTCTGTTGAAAAGAAGTGAGTTAATTTTGTAAATTATTATCTGGGTCAGACATATTATATTGAGGCTGTCCAACTTTAATTTATTTTGAAACAATAAATATCTTACATAAAAAATACGTCCTATACTATTTCTTCCTATTTACACTAGCTGAAGTCGCTTAGGCCTTAGGCCTAAGCCAATTATATGTTTGTGACAACTGAATCTATTTATCTGTTTAGTTTTATTTAGAATCGAATTGTACTTATATATAGCGAGAAAACAAAAAAAAATTTACCCGTCTTAAATATGTGCATAAACGTGATTTTAAATAAAGAGAGGCTAACGTTAGGTGTCGGAAAATTAGCCGATTGTTGCGAACTTGGAAATCATGTCAATGACCCTAAAGGTAACAGACTTTGTGATAAGTTTAGAGTGGTTATGATGTAAGCAGTAAGCACACATCACGAATATTGTAAATAAATGAATCATTGTGAAATAAATAATAATAACCCAAAATTAGTAACAACAATACAACTACATGCAAAGCTGGGCAAGTTAAGTCATTTTTTTTTTCAACCAGTTAAACTAAACTTAAGTAAGCTACCTACAAAAACTTAACAAAGTCTAACTGAGTTGGAACAGAAGTCATGGTTTCTGAAATTTTCCGAATTTCTAACTTATAATTACTTAGAAGTTAGTTGGTGTAAATAGTAACTCTTGTTAGAATAGAAGTTAGAAGTTAGTTTTAGATTCTGAGTGGAACGATGAATGTATTGATTTTACAATGATGTGAGTGTTTTTTTTTTTTTTTTATTTATTTATTTTTTGTGTCTGTCATCACCTTTTAGGACAGTAAAACTGCTTCGATTTTCTTCAACAGCAACTTTTCTGATTGGAAAGTGAATCTAGTTGGTACTTTGGGGGAAAAGTAAAAATGTCTCAGTAGTTTTCAAAAGCGACGTGAAAAACAAAAGAAAAATTAAGGAAAAACGGAGATTTTTACGCAAAATCGATTTTGATTGTTGGTGTAACTCTAAAACAAATGACCGTAGATATATGAAAATTTCACTGAATGTTGATATTAGCATTTTCTAAACACGATAAAATTTTGAAAATAATTTGACTCTTTTTGAGATGTTTACGGACATTGTCAATTTTAAATTTTCTTAGTTTTTTTTTCTATAAATACCAATAAAATTTTATTTGTTGGGCGAAAAAGCTTGAAAATTTAATACAAGGCTCCTGATATATTTTTACAATAGCAATTGTAAAATATTTAAAATACATAGGCACAATTTTTTTTTATAAGCATTTAAAATTCGAATTTTGACTCAGATATATTGGTATTAATATGTCTTAAACCAAGACTGACATACCGTCTCCACTCAGAATCGTGTTTCTTATACAATGATATTGTATCATTGAATTCAAATTTAATTCCATCCATTATACAGTGACCCACTTGTAACCTACTGTACAGCAGAGCGACATCCACTTACCCGCTTTTTTTTGAGTTTAAAATATAAACTTAAAAACTCGTTTGTTCAAAATATACGTAAAATATTACCATTGATTTTATGATGTACAGATAAGCCGCTACATAGGAGTTTTCAGGGACTAAAATTATGCTGTCAGTCACTATAGGTTCGCTGCATACGTTTGCATTAAGCGCAATGTTTTTTATTTGTTTACATACATGTATTGCTCAGTGTCTCAGTATTTAACATAAATTATTGGTGACGGTAGAAAAATTATGTTGAACAACTGATAATTCGATCAATAATTAATGTTTCGACTTTCAAGTAGGTATACGTAATAACTAATAATTAATAATCCCTACTTGTTGGAAACGAATTGGAATTTCAGTCATTGCGAACACAGAATGTATGACAAAATAAGAAATATAAAAACATGTATGCTATGCTACTATATTCGTACAGCAGGGGCGTCCGCAGAAAGGGGCCAGTGGGTTCAGTTTCACCCACTGGGATTTTTTTAATGAACCAAAAAATCCGAGTGCAATAATGTAAATATGTGACTGATCACCTATGTATGTATCACATAAATTTAATTTTGCACCCACTCGGCTGATTTTCTGCGGGCGCTCCTGTCGTATAGGATATGTATATATTGTGTATATCTATTGGACATTATAATAATTATTATAAGCGTAGTGGTTAACGCATATTACAAGAAAGAAGTATAATTATAATAGAAATAATTAATACGTAAGAAAATGTTTTTTTTTGTAATCATAAAACTGAAAATACTCAATTTTCATTAGCTGGTATTAATAAATTGTGATCATACCTATAGATAATTATATAGTCAGCGTTCAAAAGTTCTAACTTTTAAGGAACATTTGGATTTTTGAAATGAAAAAAAAAACGACAAAAAAAATAGTTGCCCACTTATTGTTTTTACCAAGTTTGGTTAGATTATTTTACGTATTCAATTCAACTATACTTAAATTACAAATAGTAAGTATGAACTGAAGCTAACTATAGTTCTGGTGATCATTGACCTGCAGATTTGACTCTATATATGTGTGCAGTAATTAATTTCATAACTTTGTGATGCCTTAATACATCAACACCTACCAAGTTAATCAATTATCTGCTCGATTTTACATAAAATTGCACTCTGTTATATATATTATAGCCTATTACCGCTTTTTTCGTGGTATTTTATGATGAATGAAATGAGACGGGAAAATTAAATCTCTCGTGAATCTTTAACATTGTACAAAAAATCACACCGCGGACCGATGTCACCATATTGAGTGTATTGATTATAAAATATAATTACCATAGATTGCTCAATGCTTGGACTAGGCGGTTACTTCGAACACGTGTGATGGGCGCCTTTGTGAAGCGCTAATAAGGCTAGTTGTGACAGATTTCACCAGGATCGCTGGGAATTTTCTCGGTGGGGCCTGCAGTAGATCGGTTTCAACTGGTCGGCATCGGGAAAATTCAATCGGTGTCCAACCTTTATTACATTCCTACCGGGTAATAAGTATATCTATGATAAAATATCATTTGCTATTACAGTCTGAAAACATAATATATAATGTAAAATGAGTCTCTTAAAAAAAGCCTGTTTTGTTTATTTTATTTTCACATTGACGTTATTGTTTGTGAGTTCCTACGAGGATTACGAGAGGAGGGCCAAGTATAACGCCGACGACGAAAATGATAATAAGACTTGCAACATTCCGTGGGAAACATCTTTGATGTCAGAACCGTATCCTTCTTGCTGGTTAATGTGTAAAGGGAGATGCATTATTTTGAGTAGAACAACCCAATGGCGCTGTAAAATGTCTCCAAACGAAATATTTGGTAACTGCCATTGCTGTTGTGGTGAGTTTCAAAAACTGCTTATACCACCTGCGTAATATGACAAAATTAAATAAATTTAAATACTTTTTTTTTATTTTCATTCACTATAGATGACAATGTTAATGTAATATATGATTTCTGATCGCCGAATCTGCAGGATAATATGTGAGCGATACCTACAAGGCTACAACGATTGAAATAATGTTCAAATTAATTAATATTTTATATAATAATACTATACGTAGCCTATATTTATTTAAACGTGGGTGCTCATGGTTTAGGCTTCCATTTATTTTTACTCATCTCCATCACTGCTCCGTCGTATATGTTATGCTATTAGGTCTTTACAAATTATTAAATGTCACCTATATTGTATTTGTACGCATACCTACTACAATTAACATAATAATTTTAAACATTTGTCAATCTAATTATTGTTATGCTATACCTACTTAAGTTTACATTGTGTTATAATTTTTTTTTATTGAACTTTAGCATGGGCGATTAAGGGCCAATAGTTGTATACATTATATTTTATTTATTTTCGGTAACAGTTAAATTACAATAATATAGGACTTATATAGTTCTTTGTTGATAATTGATATTATACTATGTTATATTAAGATTAACACAAATTTGTATTGCCGATTGGCGTTTATTCTAATAAATAAAGCACACAAATATTCTTGCATTTCATGCAACATATCATGTTTCAAATTTAAAATATTATCTAACTTAGTTTAAATCTTTAAACCATCGTACTATTGTTTCTAATATTATTTTAAAACAGACAGACGACTCAAACTCGTATGGTCATTATTATTAATTGTTAATAATTATTTAATGTTCTATTTACTAGATAGCCTAACATACCATTCTTATCATTGTAATTAGTAACATTCAATTTTAATTATACTTCAACCAATTTGCTTGTTTTATTACTAAAACAGATATTGTACATTAAATTTGTGTCGCATAGTTAAAAATAATTTTTAAAAAAGTATGTAGGTACGTTATGTTTGTTACAATTTATATCAAATAAAAACTGGGAATGTCGCTTTACTGAAAATATATAGACATATCACTGTAGTATCACAGAAATGTGAAATGACATTTCATCTGTTCTGTGTTACCTTCTATATATCAGGTTTCGAGTGTTCCTTGTTAGTGAGTACCTATCTAAGTCACTGTGTAACGAATAATGTGTTAAATTCGAACTCAATGATAAATAAATCATTGTGTAGGAAAAACGATTCTGGGCGGTTATTCAGTCTATATTTCCAACTAAGATATTTTATTATATTTTATTTATTTTGCATTATTGCTATTATAGTAATTATTTATTTTTCTATTAAAGTAACACTATAAATTGAACTAAATACTAATTATTTCCCATAACAAATTACATCTATCATAACATAATATAATTATTTTAATGTTATTTCATATAATTTTACTATCCATATTATTATCATGTGCATATAGCTTACATGCAAGTTACAGCTGTTATTACCTTATAATGTCTTAATAAGTCTGCGGTGTTCCGTAAAGGTTTATGTAGGTTTTTAAGTAGCCTAAATTGAATTTAAGTATTTTGAAAATGCCATAAATATAATATACATGTAAGATGAGAGTTTCAAGTACTTACCCACTACCTACGAATAATATGTATTGAGTTACAACAACATGACTAAAATTTTTATTTCTTGTTTTATAGGTATCTGTTTCCGTCAATATTTGAACATGAAATGTGTAAAAAAAATGTTCCTTATGTACTTTTGATGTTTTTAACGGTTTTTTGCAGCCTGAAAGAACTTATGAAGAAGGAGGAACCTTAAATTAAATTTAAAGATTTTAGTGTTACAATTTAATATATGTACATTTTTAACCGTTAACTAATTTCCCTACATATTTTCGTGATTTTGGTAGCGGAAATGCCAAATTTTGGTAGAAAAGCATATTTACTTTCAGAAGTTCTCATTTAGCTTTTTTAGATTATTAGAATTCATATTCATATTCAACCAAAAACCTCCCTCAAGGCTTCAAACTTTCAAAGCCAGACACAAAAATAAACATGATTGCGTAAACCAACATTCTTGCTCCAAATTTAATTTAAGAAACAAATATAGGTATCGACGTCCCGGGCACTCGTCTCAATAAATTCAACGTATCCACATATTCTATAATTAAGCAAAAATGTAAAATCATTATGTATAACCTATGCCCTATAGCCATATAGTACTGGTAATATTGATAATAAAAATATATTATTATTAGTTGGGTAATAGGTAGTTTGGTAATTACAGTAATTAAATTACTAATTGGTAATTCGTAGGTATAGATAGCTATATGTAGAGATGGCTATACACGTAGTGTACATACCTACCTAGATAATATTTTATACCAATACCAAATAACCTAATCATATCAATATATTTTAGTATAATAACTGCAAGCTTAACGTTATTTTATACGATTTATTTTGATAAAAAAAAAAAATAGATCATATTATTAAATCTTAAACAGTTATATTTGCCGCTTTGTGTCGCATTAAACAATATCTTGTCTGTTCTTTGTTGGAGATATTTTTAAAATAAACAATTCCTTAGACAGTTCTTCATTCCTATTTTTGCATCAGTCATATTTTATATCATATATAGTGTACTTAACTTATTTTAATTAGTTAATTAAGCGAAAACATTCCTCTGACCGGTTGGTCTGCCAAAAACACATGTAGATTGTACATCTAATAACAACATAAATACAAGCTAAAAATCGTATTCTTAGATCTTTATTTTGAAGTAGGTACATAAAATGTAAGATTATAATATATAATATCATACATTTTTTTAAGATTGTTAATTAAAATTAATAAAGTACCAAATACCAATGTACTAACCTTTAATATAATGATTTTATGCAGTGTTGTTTATTATTTAAAACTTATTTAAAGCTATTATCATAATTCATAGGTATGTGGAAATTAACACAAATAATGTACGACAATTTTTAATTGACTTTAATATGTTTTCTCGTGTATTAATTTTAAAACAACAACGAGAGTGTTAGATAATAATATAATGTCATATTATGTCAACACATAGTGTTATCAGCAGACATACCTTACCTATCATGTATATGATTACTAAATAGTTTTACATTTTGAATAGAACGACTCGCGTGCCTTATACGACTATACTTATTTCCTATTGGTTTTACAATATGGTGTGTTCTATGTATGGTTATAACGACACTTTTTGGATCCGTAAATCTGCGTTTGTGTGTGGGTTTTTTACGATAGTTCAATTTTTTGGCAAGTTTTACGTGTATAATACAACTTAAATTAAAAATGATCATAACTTACATAAAAACTTAATCATCATAAAAAACCCACATGCAAATACAGATAATGTTCTTATCATCAAGTTTCATAGTAGGTCGATTAACTCTGATTTTTAAGCTAACGAAGCTAAACGTGATCGGCTCAGCATCAATTTGGTTATGTTACGCACTTGCAAGACGGAGTCAACAAATATTAAAATTCTGTGTAGCCTGTAGCGTCCTCTGAAATTTTCAAATTTAGGATATTTTCTGGTAGAAAATTTAAACTCTAGTTGGTATCTACTTCAATCGTCAAGTAAGAAATTACCAGAACTTTTTTTTTTGATAATGAGGAAAGACTAATATTATTATAAAACAGCAGAAGGTAATATTGACGGACCTACAACGCCTGCAGTTCTTATAATTTTTATAATATGCATAAATATGCAATTTTTAACATTTTTTTTCTACAATAGTCAGGTTTTATGCATAATGGAATAATTACACTATAGAAACAGTTAAAATATTATCTTTTGTTTGAACTGTTCTAACCATTGTTTATAAGGTATTTAAAATTAATGGATTTTTTTAATTTTATTAATTATAAAAACTTAAAAACACGTAATCACAAAACCAAAATATATTTGGGCTTTTATAAACAAATACGTTGTTGTTATTAAAAAAATAAGGTTAACCAATACTTAACGGCCATTATTATACTAAGATCCGGCAACGACCTAATAGTACTATCACTGCGTGTTTTTTGTTTTATCATAATTATATTTTTAAAAAAATTATGATAAGGAAAATGTTTTTTCAGATACCATAATATTAAGATTTATAACAACACATTTAAAAATAAAATAGTATTTATTTTTCGTAATTTATAAAATGTTCCAAAATATGCTAAATAATTTAAAATTTAAATATTCCCTAACCCATGAGATATTCTCAAATATACAAAATAAAATCTTTTTCCTACGAACTCTATGTTGAATGAATCGATAATCGTCCTCATTTTTTACTCGTAAAACTACATAAATTCAATAACGATAAATGTAATAACACATATTATAAACCCGGACTATATAGTAATAACACTAATAACTAATAAGTGATAACCATAGGGCCGAGTAACCATGTTTAATTCAACCCATAGGCACTGTGTTTAATCATACTGTGATTCATTTAAATTGCTCTAAATCGTTTCTCAGAGTAACAGTGCCTAACAATAATCAGTTATTTTATTAATTGTGTGTGTTATAGTTTATAATAATATATGTAATTTATGCTTTCATAATAACATAAAAACTGTAAACAATTCAAAATGTGATTTAGTCGGTACTTATTATTTATCAATATTTACTAGGTTGTATATATATATGTTTTGTACGCAGGAATGTTTAATCTATTTATTTTCAAGATAAACTTTGTCTTTATATCTAATATCTTATATTTTTTATAAGTAGGTACCCATTATAATGTTAACGTTATGTTTTTACCGTTTTACATAGTTTTTTATATTAATCTCGAGATTTCTGTAATACAAATTACAAATATGGTTTACTTGTGATAAAAATAAATTTTAAAAATGCCATCCAAGAAATTTACAAAATGTATCAAATAATTGTAATTACCTACACAAATTAAAACACGATTAGATTATATTATATTATATCTATATCTTATTTTATGTGTAATACTAATTATTGATCTATCTGAGAAATGTTGACAAAATATAATATATTCAATGTATATTTATAATTATAAATTACGTGTATGTTTAAATATATTATGTTGTTTGAAAATGTTCACCATTATATGGTATACGTAGGTAGGTATATATTATTATCTTTTATATTCAATTAAATTTTAAACAATAACATATGTACGTATTATGATACTATAATAATTATTAAAGTAATATATTATGCGATGTAGATATTTGGCCAAAATTAGTACAACACTTAAACATACCTATACTACATGGCATATTTCTAATAGAAAAATAAATTACTAGCTAATGTGTAATAATAACATATAAACATTTATTATTATAATATATATTATATACCTACCCAAAGAGGTAAGAAATAAAGGCTGACACTATTCAGGCTCTGAATCCATTTTATAGTTGAATTCAAACTTAAGTTGTAAATTGTAATCCATACATTCTTAAGAGCATATTAAGTTTTTCGATAGGTATTGTAACTTATTTTTAATCCAAGTCCTGTTAAATAAAACAAAAATATAAAAACCAAAACGTTGGGGGATAGGGGCCAGGGACGAGCTAAATGGGGATACACTCGGCAGCAATATAAGATTTTCAAACAGCAGTCAGCACTTTGCACTCAGTCAATTCGGTTGGCATTTAGAAATTGG